ATGGAGCCATGACTCCCTGCATATGACATAGCTCTAGAAGAGGTATCAGTGGCATCCATTGCAGATTGGAAGGCTGTCCAGGCTATCAGTTTTCTGTCATGAATCAGAGCTTGAAAGTGAGCTCAGTCCTGTTGTGGAAGGCTGTCAGTAAACTCTCCAAACTTGGCATTGTTCAGTAGCGCCCGGTAACTGGCTATCCTGAACTGGAGGCTGGATGGTTGGACCTTTCTTCACAGCAGATCCAAGCATTTGCCCTGTGTGAGAAGGAGTAGACTGGGGATCTTGCTGTCTAGCCCTTTCAGAAGTGACATGGACTACTGGTGAATTGGGATCAGGATGAGAAAACAAAAATTCTGCACGGCAGCCAGCACCTAATAATGCTTCGCTGCCTCTTTAGAGGTTGGCATGCAAGTGGCAGTGGTATGCCAAAGTATCCTAGCTAGCTCCAGTATGGCTTCATTAATGGGGAGAGCTATTCTGTTGGGTCAAGAAGCATGTAGGATGTCTAGGAGTTTGTGCTGAGAATCTTGGATCTCCTCAAGGGGAACCTGCAGCTCTCCAGCAACTCTGCAGAGAAGGTTCTGGGACTGCCTAAAGTCATAGGGGAAGGGATGTGGAAGTCACCATTTCATCCAGGGATGACAATGGCAGTCCTGCTGGTTCCCGTGCAACCATCGGATCTGAAGCATAATGTTCCTCTTCCTCTGTCAGATCCAGGGGCAGACCTTAGAGGGGAGGCAAGGGGTGACACCCTGGAAGAGTGGATCAATTCTGCATGGGTTACTGGTTCCAAGGCCCTCAATATGGCTAGTAAGAGGGATCAATAGGTGGTTGCAGTGGTCCCCATAGCGTGGGGTACCAACAGCTCTGAGTTAGAGGCAGAGGAGGTTGGCCCCAAATGTGTGTGGGTCGTCTGAGTGGTGGAGAATATGTAAGGAAAGAGCAGTTCATCCAATGATTCAGAATCTCCCGACGAGGAGAAGGCTGATTCCAGTTCCAGTGATGGTACTCAATGCCATTGGTGATAAGCTCCTTCCAGAGGTTGATTCTCTTGGTGGTGATATTGTCTCCCCGGAAATGGAGGGAATACTGGAGGGGCCTGATGAAGGAGGGGATTCCAAATCCAGGAGAGTGAAAATATCCTGTGGGGCTGAAACAGATTCAGATCTCCCTGGTGTGAGAGGGGTTCTGCTTGTCTGACCCATCGGAGCCAGTGATAAGGGTGGTATCTGAAGTTGGCGGTGATCTGACTTAGTCAGTGCTGATGCATCCTGGAGTTTGGGAGTAGCCAAGGATGATGGCACCAACAGAACATGGTTTGATACTGGACTTTCTTGTCGTGCCTCTGGGACTTAGTACATCCTAAGTCCTCATGGGCTGAGCTGCAAGGCTTGCTTACAGCCAAGTCAGACTTCTCTGAAGTGGACTTTGAGGAAGAATTAATATCGTGCTTACGATAGTGTTTCCTAGCTTCCCACCATGGTGTCTGTAGGGGTAGATACACCCACAGTAGAGCTGGACTTTGCAGCAGGAGGTAAACTCCTTGATGAATCAGGCCAATGCACAGGGGGTTGGGAGTTTCCCTGGCCTGGGTTCAGTTGAGGTCTCATGGCCTTCTCCATGAGGTATTTGCAGAGACGAAGTCCCTACCTTTCTTGGGTATGGCTGGCGAACAATTGGCTGATACTGCACCTTGCCGCAATAAGAGCTTTCCCAAGGGCGTACAGGCAGCTCTGTTGGTCGTCGTTGATTGAGAAGGATCGCGGGCAAGAAGCACAGAGTTTGAAGCCCAGAGACCGGGGCATGGTCTGGTACCCGAACAGAGTATGGGTGAGAAAGGGTATCCCCCTGGAGATTAATCTCATTTTAAAGATTAAAAATTATTAAAACTATTTACAAACTAGATTATTTTTATTTTGTAGGATGAAGTTGAAGCTGTGGACGCTGACCCAGACCATGTGGCAGTGAGAAGGAACTGGAGAAGCGGTCAGTCCGCCCATCCATTTAACCCCTCAGTCAAAGGCACCAGGTGAGCCAGTGCACATGCGCAGACCAATCGATGCTACTTTCCAATTCTCTGCCTCAGGGCACTATGGTGCGCATGCATAAACCCACAGTTGAAAACAACAGGGACCATCACTCGAAGAACTGCCTTTTTCCATCAAATTATTTCCATCAGAAATAAAGAAAATTATTAGCACCAAAAGAATAAATCCCACACCATTTATAGGTTCTCCATATGAATAATTTGTGTGTCTAATTTCGGAGTCTGTCATACATTTTGTCCCACTTTTGAGCCTTGGCAAGTTGGGAGTAAAGGCTATGTGTTTTACATTTATATAACAAGACAGATGTGTGTCCTGAAGAGTTTACAACCTGAGTGAGCGATCCTCTGAATACTCCCACGCATTGGGCTTATTCTCTTAAGTAAGCCCATTGACTCTCTTAAGTAAGTCCATATTGTCCCTAAATAAGACAATATGATATATGCAGAACAAAGATTTTAATTTTGGTACATTTTTTCAAGGTGTTTTTTAATCCCATCCTTTTATTTTTATATATTAGGAAATATATCCTCATTTTTATTTATTTATGTGCATTATATATATAAAATCTTTCCTAATTTTCCCCATTATTATTCATACTTACTATTCTTTTATCCTCCTTTGGCCTCATTCCAAATATTATTCAAAATGCATCAAGATCGTGTATGTGTTTTATATATACACACCTCTACCCCGATATAACGCGGTCCTCAGGAGCCGAAAAATCTCACCATGTTATAGGTGAGACCGCGTTACATCGGGGTACGGAGAGAAACCACTCCCCGCCCCAGCTCACCTCTGCTCTGCCTCCTCCCTGAGCGCGCTGCCACCGCTCCACTTCTCCCTCGCTTCCAGGCTTGCCGCACCAATCAGCTATTTGGCCCGGCAAGCCTGGAGGGGGTGGGGGGGAAGCGGAGCGGCGGCGGGGCGCTCAGGGGAGGAGGCAGAGCGGAGATGAGCTGGAGCGGTTCCTCCGTGCCCCCCGTTACTTGCTGCAGCCCTCCCTGAGTCTCCCCGCCTCAACTCACCTCCGTTCTGCCTCCTCCCTGAACGCGCCACCGCTGCTCCGCTTCTCCCTCACTTCCAGGCTGCCGCGCCAATCAGCTGTTTGGCCCGGCAAACCTGGGAGGTAGGGAGAAGCGGAGCGGTGGCGTGCTCAGGGAGGAGGCAGAGCAGAGGTGAGCTGGGGCAGGGAGTGGTTTCTCTCCCTACCCCGATGTAACGCGGTCTCACCTATAACATGGTGAGATTTTTCGGCTCCTGAGGACCGCCTGGGAGGGAGGGAGAAGTAGAGTTGTGGCGCGCTCATGGGGGGGAGGTGGCGGCGGAGCGGAGGTGAGCTGGGGCGGGGAGCGGTTCCTCTGCACCCCCCCGCCCTTACTTGCTGCGGCCCCCCTGCGCCTCAGCTCACCTCTTCATCTGTAAAATCAGGATAATATCATCCACCTCACTTCACACAGGTTTTGTGAAAATAATGTTTGTGAACCACTCAGATACCATAGTGGTGAGCACCATAGACAAGGCCATGAAGAAATAAATACATTCTGTATTTAGAGCAGGTTAGTAATAAGGCCTAGGACACACACTGAATGAGGATAAAACAAAATATTGAATAGCTGCTCATTTATTGAGTAACACCCATTGTGTGCACTGAATGAGGCAAGGTTCTTGTGGAAAAATAGTATATGATCATGTAATTAGAGATTGTATCCCTAAGGCATATACACAAGGGGGCCAAATTAAGGTTGCATAGGCTACCTTAATTCTGGCATTTCTTAATTTTTGAGTGCTTGACTTTACAAGCTTGCTAATTTTCTTTTAATGTATTTCTGTGGGTAATATTACATATACAATATTTTATATATACAATATATAATGTGTAATATATGTACCAACACACACACAATGAATGAGTATACATGAGCAGGATAAAGTGTTTATCATTAGAGATTTGGATTGGGCATTACTCTCAAAGCTGCAAATGAGGTATGCTAGTCATCTCAAACAAGAGTTGAGAAAACTTTTATACTCCACACCACAACATACTTTAATTTTTAAGTATCATATATAGCAAACATATGTTAAGAATTTATAAAAAATACTGGTATTGTTTTTCCTATTCTTCGGTCTATAAAGGTATGTACCTTAGTTACCATGAGTCCAATTTACAGATCTCAGAGAGCCATACCTGTATAAATGATCTAAAGCTGCTTTTCTTGAATAAAAGTACCACATTTTGAGGTCAGAAGCGAGTGCCTGCTCCAGCTGGTTACTGAAAATCATCTCTCTTCACCAACATACAGCTTCCAATTTAAGCCATGATGGTGCATGAGATATTTCACCTTGATCCTGTCCAAAACTGAAAATTGCTTGTCCTGGGACTCAGGCAGATGTATTTTGGAGAGTGCGGGAAAGGGATAGTACAGAATTTGGGGGGGAGAATGAGCATAGCATTTATCTGGCAATTTGCTCTTAAAAACATTAGCAGTAGTCTCAGTGGACATTATTTGGGTGAGGCAGTTAAAGGCACATGATAAAAATTTAGAACTGGGCTATCACCATCATAATTGTGTATGCATGTGTACACGCACGCACCACACACACTTCTAATTTATTATATAGTATCAGCCTCTTGTTTTAATCATTTGCTATTATTGTAAACTTTCTATTTAAAAAAATTGTTGCCCCCCAATACTTCTCTCCTAATCCATCTCATGCAAAATATCTCCTTTTACTTTTGACATTAAGTACCTTGGGGTATGGTATCACCTCAGTATTATGTCAGTTCTGCCAAGCTTCCCTGAACATCCAAGACCTAGTCTACTCTGAAAAAATTATACTGGGTAATGTTTTCCTCATTTCTTTAAGAAGGATATCCAAACCTGATAAAGTAATGCATGCAAGAAAGTTATTTTATTGTTCCCAGAAATAGAAGCATCTTGGTTAAAAACTTACTGCAGCACTGCAGCCAGGGAAGTTGAAAAAGGTATCAGGACCATGTCTCTGTGGCATCTGATTAAGGACTGACAATAGTTTAACTGCATGTCTTGGCTGTTAAAACAGAATTGTAGAAATGTCAATGCAACCAGTTAATAACGATATTCTATAGCTATATTAGCCACTGGATAGTTTTCAAACAAACCAGTAAATTAATTCTAAAACGGTTTTTAAAAACTTTTAAAACAGTAATTCAATTAACATAAAAAAAATCAATTTCATATGCCGCTAGAGACCATTTATGTTAACCTCAGGCACTAATGCACTGACATTTAATACTTTATCTGGCCACAGCTTACCCAGATTCCATTTTCGCCTCGAAGCATGCTGAACAAAAGCTTCAGCTCCTTGACAGTGATGCTGTAGCTGGCAAGAACCCCCAACATATCAACTAGAAGATCTTCAAAGGAAAATAAAGTTATTCTGAACTCTGAATTATACTGTTTGTCAAAGAAATTATTTGCAACTACAAGCTAAAAATAGCAATTTCATTAAATGTAAACTTTATTCACAAATATTAAAATCAAATTGTTTCCTTAAATATTGTATAACAAAATATGAATTAAAGAATATCCATCTTTCCCATAAAAATCATTTATGTTTAAAATACACATATGATTACATGCCCATTTTTAGAATTACCAGTTTTTAACAAAACAGTAAATAAGTACCCAAAAACAATCTTTTATGTTTGCAGTTTTATCACAATGGGCTAGGAACCTATTGCTGAATATTTATTGCCTTTGTATTGCACATTTTAGGATGTTTCCTCATTCTTCTTGTAGCATGTTTCTAGCATTTGTGAGCTAAGATGTACACATCAGCATTCTTTGAACGGTTTGCTACGTCATCTTGCAATTTAATTTCTCTGCATTCTTCTTTAATTTGGTACCCAAGTATGAAAACTTTAGATTTGACCACAATGCAATGCCAAACAATGGGGGCAGGAGAGGGGAAAGAGGCTCTGCTAAAGTCTATCACTACAAGTGACAAAAATTACTATAGAATAATTAATAGACGACATATCCTCCATTAGAGCATTTCAAAAACCAAGAAACCTATACAGATATAGGAACAAAAATAAATTCACTTTTCAGAGAAAATAGCATTCAAGATTAATAAATAGATTTTAGACTTTTTTAAAAAAAGTGAAAAATTTATGCTCATTTTAAGGTTTTGAATAGTTTGGGGAATCCTGGTTCTTTCCATGCTCTCTCTGCTTTCCCTCAAAGCCCAATACTTCTAAGAATTGCTATTAGTGTCCTCAGGTGGCATTACAGCAGGAGGAAGGATAGTATAAGTTGTGGCCCTCAGAAAACACAAAAGGCTATTACAATTTCAAGGAGCAGCTTCCAATGTACAGAGGATTCAGCCCAAACAGATTAAGGCAAACTAGGGCCCTTATCCACCAATATTTTAGACATGCTTCTACATCCTGAGGGTCATTCACTAGCCAGACATCTCCTTCTCCATAACATTCTTTGTTCTAACAAAACTCAGAATTTTCCTCTTCCTCCTCATCTCCAAAGATCACCTCTCTCCTACTCTGTTTCCATGGCTGGTTTGGGGTCATAAAACTGCCTGGGAAATAACTTTTCAGCTGCTAAGGAAGTTCACCATATTTCCCTTCAATTTACGAGAACATTTTGCATTACAGCTGGAGGATATAGGACGAGTTATAGCTAAAAGACGCCTAAACATTTTCTCTAACTAGCCTTTTTCAGTTGATCATAACTACTAAACTTTCACTTTCTGAGCTGAAATTTTTCAGATCTTGTATCCAGGATTTATTTTTTCTGAAAATGTGAGTGAACATTTTTTAAGCCATTTTGTAGTTTGTAGACAGCAAAAAAACCCTTCTCTTTTAAAAAATGTGGTTTTGTCTGTGTTTAAAACTGCTCTTATACATCAGCAGGAAGGAGTAGAAACTTGAAATCAGTCTGGGAAATGGCGAGATGTGTGATTTCACAGGTCTAATGAATATCTATTTGATTTGTCTGAGTTAGAATAGTTTACATATTGTACTTTAAGCATTTTTTTAAATGATTTCCTAATGTTCTAACAGCACTGACACATGTGCACATAAGTACCTTTATAAAAAACCTTGTCTTATTTGATGCACATATGCATACTGAATGATGCAGGACTCTGAAGGAAAGCCCCTAGAAAGTTTTCAGGAGACAGTTATAGGACTGTATCCTAATTACAGGATCACACACTGTTTTTTCTAAAGAACCACTCCCTCCTCCTGTGTGCTGGTTGAATGGTACATGGGTGCATAGTAATTAGGAATAGGGTCCTCTAGATCCATGCATCACTTTAAAGTGAATTCCATTTGTAATTCCCACAGTATGCACTATGAGTAATCCACTGAAGCCAATGGATTTGCTCTGAATTTGTACCACTGAAAGAGCAGATTATAGCTCTCAATGAGCAAATTGGAGCATGCAGTGAATGAGGCCTCATTTAGTGCACAGGTTGCATGATAGACAATTGATGATGCACAAATTCACTCACTGAACAGTGAAGATAAAAATTAAAAAAAAAAAATCCACCTAGGCACTTATGGCCACTTTCACCATAGAGTCCAAGCGCCTCCCAAGTATTTAAATAAAGAAATAATAATAATGATCTCTTTCCTTTCCCTGCCTGTAGGATAAATCACTTCATTAGTTAAGAGGGTTTTTGTAAATGTACCCGGCAAGAGTGGGTATGTGGGGTTCTGCTTGTGAAGAGCTTATTGAGGGAAAACAAAAATCAAAGAAATATTTTAGTTTTAAAGTGATGATGTGTGTGGTCTCTTCATCTTATGGGAGTCCACATCCATTTCCTATCAATGTTCTGCCTCATTCACTGCATACCATCCAGCCTGCATCCTGATTGCAGCAGAAGTCCTGAGGAAACAACAGTATTTGGTCTGGTAATTAAGGACTGTAACACGCTGAATTTTCAGAAAGGGGCAGAGTTGAGATTGCAAGTCAATTTTGGCCCTGACTTTTGAGTACTCCACTTTGCAACCTTAACCTGCTTCTAAGTTTCTTTTTTTATTATTTGTGTGTACTTTGAGGGTTTTTTTTTTTAAATAGAAAAAGAAATTGTGTAATATGGATGTATCTGGTAGAGAGCAGAAGATCCCTCAAAAATTCCATTAATCTTCGATACCTATGTTATCACACTACCAACAGGACACACATTTTTAAATTCTTTATCATTCAAGTTACTACACATGTGCAGAGTATATTTTTAATAATCCTTATGATTACAAAATTAAAATAGATCTTCACTGGACCATCAAAATACATGTTCTAGCCAGGGACACACTCCATGGCAAATTTCACATATCTGCTCAAACTGCTGCTGACTATCGAGCTTTTCAAAAAAGTTGCTTTTTATAATAGCAAAATTATTTTTCACCACTCTCCTTTTACTCAAACTGGGGTGAAGTGTTTTCATTCAAACTTAAAAACACAGCAACATCACATACACACTGAGCAAAAAACATTGAAAGATTCAAGCCCAGGACTTTATAAGTAATAAGCAAATGAAGAATGCCCTTAAAATGCAAACTCTTGGGACATTTTTATTATTGGTATTGCTACATGCTCCAGTTACAAAAGAGTTAGATAAATTAGATTCATTTCTTCTTTTGATATAATTGAAGTTAGCTTAAACTTTTTTCTTGCTTGGTTTTTGATTAATAAATCCTGGTACTTACATACCACAAGTCTTGTTTGAAAAGATTTAATCCATACTTAGTATAACCATACTAATCCACTCACCATATAGGAATGGCAATGTCAAAAATCATGGCTTTTCTGAGGTTCTTGTCATTTTATGTGATACTAAGTCATAATAAGAATACCACACAGGTTTAACATGTATCTATAGTCTCGTTTTATAAATAAGACTATAAATTATGGGGGGAGGAGAGAAACCTTTTCTCCTTATTTTAATGCATTTCAAACAATTAATGTAATAGGTTTTACTTGCAGTAACTGCCACCTCATGTACACTTGTCAAACTGTACTTAGGGTTGCCAATTTTGGTTGAATGTATTCCCAGAGGTTTCATCACATGACAATCTTTAACGAAAGATTCATTTTTAATTCCTGTAGACTCCAGGGCAATCCTGGAGGGTTGGCAACCCTAACTGTACTTAATATCTTATATTTACTCTATAAACACAACTGAAAGAACCTTAATTCAGTCATGTAAGGAACAGCTTAAAACTTTAACATAGCTCAGTTGTCTCTAAAGTAACATTGAGCATAGCATCTGAGAGATAAGAGAGATAACATGGCATTTCCCTTCATAGTTCATCTGCATGGAAGGCATTGGCAACACAACTTCAGAAGGAACTACCTTGTGCTTCCTTAAGTTTAGTAACCAAGCTTTACCAGATGGCTGTGAAGTTTAACTTTCACTTAATAAGGCAATCAGGTTTTCCACTGTTTTCAAATGGATACATTTCCAGGAACGATTTCTGTTAGCAGCCCAGCTGCCTCTTTAGCATTATTTGGTGGGAGCAACTTTAGTTTAACTTTTGCTTAAAAATAGTAACTGTTTCAGTGCTCAAAATTCAGTTCAAGCAACTTTCAAGCAGCTTAACCACCTGCAGCATAACAACTGAGCTTCTGGAGGTGAAATGGGTCTCAATGAAGGAAAGGCAACTGTAAACTGTACTTTGCGTGACAAGTTAGGCTAGCAAACACCAGTTCAGATTTTGTTATTACTAATATACTATCCATAGAAACAGTTGGGTCAGAAGACTTGCTTCATTAGTTCTTACCCAAAAATTTAGGGACTCAATTTTCAAAGTTCTCTGAAGGAAAATACTTTATAGCTGTTAAGGCCATCCACCAATTATCTATCTGGTCATTATAGTAATCTTTTGCCCTCAACTACTGATAAAATGGCTCAACATCCCTTCCTGTAGTATAATCTTCAGATTGTCAGGGTATCTAGATGACCTGTGACAGACAAAGTTTCTGGGAAGGAGACAAATACCAATGGCAGTCATCCCACTTTTCAATGCAATTGATTGCAGAAAAATGTGTTCCTATGAAGCTGTCATGAAGATTAAGATATTATTTCCTCTGACATAGCATCTTCAAAAATCTTAACACATGAAATGGTTTAAGTAGATGGCAACCTCATGTATCTGAATTGCCTCCACACAAATGAAGTCAGCTTTTTCCCCCACTATGAAGTATTTTCTATCCACTTTGTATATAGAGAATGGACTGGGACTTACTGTAGATTGCTGTCTCAACATGACACAATGTAGACAATCTTTTCTACTTGATTTACACCAACTTTGATCACAGTATTTCAGGAAGTACTGAGAGAGATAGACCCATAGTTAATGAGTTGCAAGAAGGATACCTGTACTTTACAAGCCAGGTTGGAATATTAGGCCCACCACTATTTTGTGACTATTTTGGAAGAAAGTGGTATCAACGTCCTAGAACTAAGCAATGGTTTGGCTCTTGTTCAAAAGATCCTCACTGAATGCTTGGAAACAGACAATTACTATACCACCACATTTTTCACCTCACCATTTTGGGAAAGTGAATAGGAATGATTGTAGCAAAGCAGCTCTGGCACCATCTGGAGTCCTCCTGTCAACCTTGATCCCTATACATCAGGCTAGCTTAGGGCATTCGTTATTGTTAGGCAATAGCCTCCTGGTGATGATCAGCTATTAGGTACCCATGTTCATTCATTTTTGATTTGTTAGTAGCCAATGCCACCATTGACCATGAGGTGGTAGTGATACATCTGCAGAAACTAGAGAAGTAGAAGCAAAGCAACTAACTCTGGTGTGTCTGTTTCTTTCTTTCAAAGGTCCAATAGGTGACTCATCCACCCATATGGCTCTCTCATGAAGAGTCCAGCAGAGTTATTGTGGACAGGAATTAAACAGCACATTCATGGGGGTTTTACTAGTGACTGGCATACATTCTGAGCTGCAGTGTCATCAGAATTCTGATACTTTGTTTTTTAATCAGATCTGTAGAGTAGTTTCCACTCTTCCACTTTCATAGGAGCAGAGATAAAAGCAAACTTGCCAAAGCTCTCTCTTAAAAACCTTCTCTGAAATGCTGCTGATAGGCAGGAAAAAGCATTCTTATAAAATTAATGGAGTAGGTATCCACTCCCTTTACTGATGAGGTATGCCAGTCTTATCAATACTTGCAACCTCATGGGTCTTTGATTCCCAACTGCTTCTAGATCCCAAATATTACACTTCTTCTGCCATCTTCAGTTACTTAGGCTGTTTCTACTCTTTCCCTATGATGGTGCCAACATCATAGTTATATGTGCCTCATCAGAGTTACCCTTGAGACTATCTGGAAAGTGGAGAACTCAATGGCTTGTTTGCTTTCTTAGTGGAGCAGGGTTTTGTGAGCACATTATATTTACTGCACTCGTTTCTTATACGTTTCAGTCAAGGAACCAAAATGTTAGTTTTTACAGAATAATGCCCTTTACAGGTAGAACTTGACTGCCCCTTTCCTTGTGTACCATTTTAACACTTTGAAAGGTTGGTCACAGGGCATATGTAACGGTGCATCTTTGGCCGTGTGACTATATTGATCTGCTACTGCTTGAGTTTTTGGTTCTTCACACCACAGAATATCGTCTACTGGCTTAAGCATTTACTTGAGGGGGCACAAGACTATGCAGCATGTTTCTCAGAGATGTTAGCAGTGGGTACCTATTACTGCTACTTAGTAGCAATATGATTTGATGGGTAGTCTTGAATTATGAGCAGCAAATTCACTCAGACTGAAAAGAACAAATCATTTACTATTTTAAAACATACTGATAAGGACCCAAAATGTGCTAGGCATCTCACAAAGGCACTTACTCTGAACATATTAAATGGGGCCGTTTATGAAGATTTAGTATTACATTCAATTTTATATTTACTAAACCCACCAAGATTCACAAATCTCAGTAAACACATTTTCACACTGCTGTTACCATCATCCTTTCCCCAACTCCTCTCTTGATTATAGCGTCTTCACTTAAGGACTCATCTAAATTTAGAATCAAAATTCCTTTTGGCAGGTACCATATTTTTACTTCTTCTGTAAAGCAGCTAGCACATATCTGGTCACTAAAAATAAAATAACCACCTATATATCCTTTCACTTAGCAACTATTTGTAAATCAGCTAGAATTTATGGAAAGAAAAACTATTCAACCCTTCAAAAATTTCACTATTTTTTAGGTCAAGTACACTACTCTCAAACACAGTACTAAAATACATAAGATCAAAAAGTAAGTTACTGAACCCTAAGCTGATGAAGACAAGATGGCCTTTTGAATTTCTCCTGCACAGCCCCAACAACTGTAATGAGTGAAAAATTAGTTCTGTAAATCCTACTGATCACATTCTAAAAGTGGAAGCTTAGCCTACCCTTCTAACCAGAGTATCTCAGATTACTTTCAAGTAAGAAAACAGAATAATCTCCAGATACTGAGGGTATGAATAAATTGGAAGCCTCAGACAGGCAACATCTTCTGTAATCCCAGACTCTTATAGATGTGCAAATAAAGTATGCTATGTTTTAGTAGAAGGAAACAGGGAATACTCAAAAAAAAATAGACAAGATTAAAAACGGATATAAGCCATCTGACATGAAAATTAAAGAGAGGCTATAAAGAGCACAGATGTTTTAAAAGACAGGCAAAAATTGAAGTATAGAAACTAAAATAAAACTGCTTAATACAGTCCAAAAATACAATATTCAATAAATATGAACATTTCTAGTGTTCTCTTGGTTTTTATCACAAAGAATATTGTACTATTTATTATTTAAGTGGGCCATAATAATGGTTCAATTCTTTTACTATGTAATAATTCATAGCAATGAATATTGTTTTTAGAAACTGAGAATAAGCGTCAGAGATGCTCTTATGAGATATATTGAAAGGTGTCTTATTTTGTCACTAAGATCAGGCAGTAATCTATTTTCTTTTTAAAAGAATTGTGCATACTAACTACCGGTAAATTATTTCAACATTAGTTCTAAAACCAGAGTATTTTACAATCTTTGCCCATTACATTTCGATAAAGTTGATTTAGTACTGTTGACTCAGTATCAATACTAATAAAATAATTTACTGTTTTTGAAATGTAAATAATGACTATGCTTGCAACACTTGAGTGTTCAAGAACACTGAATTTATACATATCAATCAGTAATTTATACCTGCAATCATGTCGTCCACCGTACTCATCTTCAGCAGTACCTGTTCAATTAAGCCAACTTCTGTGCTGGTCTGTAAATTACGGACACTCTTTCGTAGAATGGCTGTGAACATACTCCAGATTTCTGCTTGGCATGTTACATCACAGTGTTCTAAAAGCTCTGACATACACGTTATGCTCTCTGCATCCTGGATTATAAAGTTCATCTCTAGATCAAACTCTCCACCAACCAGCTAAAAAGAAGAAAAAACAAATGTTAGTATGTGTAATGTATAATTTGAGTATTACTGAGGAGTTGAGCACTGAGTCTGAACTGGTTGGCACCTTTTCAGATCCTTATTTCAACCAATATTGACTACTTTTTGAGCGTTAAGGGAGACAATCCAAATAAATTTGATATCAAAACTCACATCCCAGTGGCAACAGATCAGGAAGATAATCAGGATGGCAAAAGCACAGTGGCCACTAAGATCATATAAGAAATTAACTTAAATTTTCCCTCAGTATTGGATAGCACACTTTCAGAAATAAAAATCTCTCTGCAGTCCTCCTTACGGCAACTAATTCAAAGGGCAGTTTGACTCCAATGAATACAAGAATAGCAGCATCTGAATTGGCTCAAAAATCAAAATATCTTTGCAATCCTCTTTAGACCAACTCACTCAAAAGGGCAGGTTGACTCCAGCAAACAAGTGCACTAGTAGCAGCATTAGAATTGGCTCAAATAATAGCACACCTGTCTGCAGCTCTTGGAAAAGAAAGTTGCCTACTCAAACGATAAAGCTGGATATATGTCAACTCAATGTATTACATCTGAGACGCCCTGAAGTAGAAAATTCCAATCCAATGAGCTTTCTTTCTGAATGGATCCCAAAATTACTTGGTGTATAGGTAAAACTGAACAAACAAAAAAATGGATAGAGCCTATTTGGCTCCAAATACAACCAAAGGAAAGTTCATTCACCCCAACCTGCAAATATCTGCCTACGTAACTGAAGAGAGGCAATCCATGAAAGAGAGCTTACTCAAATGAGGAACACTTGTCATTTTTTTCGGAATTTTTCTCCTCCTTTATAGCAGCAGAAAATTTCATTCAATCCAGGAACAAAACTACCCAGAGATCAGAATACACCTCTACCCCGATATAATGCAACCTGATATAACACGAATTCGGATATAACATGGTAAAGCAGTGCTCCGGGGGGGGGGGGCGGGGCTGCGCACTCCGGTGGATCAAAGCAAGTTCGATATAACGCGGTTTCACCTTTAACACGGTAAGATTTTTTGGCTCCCGAGAACAGCGTTATATCGAGGTAAAGGTGCATTAAACATATTACCTTATACCCAGTAACGATCAAGATATTTGAAAATACAAATATTTCCTTATAAAGACTCCAAATATAGTCTATCATTTGCTAAGGAAAAAAACAACAAAATCTTAAGGCACAATACTATATGTTAAATGAAAGATATTTTTAAAAGTATGTGCTGTGTGCTTACTTTCAGTGATTACATGTTGACAGAGAATAATTTTATGACAACCTAACTTTTCATAGTTTGATTGAGAACAGTCTGCACTTTCCACAGTCTATAGACTATACAATAATTAAAGTGGCCAGTATGAAACAATAGGTACGCCTTTTTCACATAGGCAGACCAGCCTGCACATTCGGTATTCTTTCCTTTACAGTTGTTAATCCTCAGACCTGACTACTACTACTGAAAGTGATCAACTCAGGTTTCCATTAACTCAAGGATTCATCTCACCTTACCAATTAAATCACTAACAACCAATTTAAAATAGTCTAATGATGTAGTTTAGAATTTACTAAATGATAAATCAGTTGACTACCAATTTGGACTCTAGAGATATCCAAGTTAAATGAAACAACAGATTGATTTGAATGTATTATTAGTATTTGAATTTTAGGTTTATTAGGAGATTGAAATGAATGTGAAAAACGTAATTATTTAGAATTTAAGCAATCATTTATAATGGATGCCTCAGGTAATCATATTTTTTCAAAGAAAAAAACAGGAGCACTTTTCTGGAGACTTTTTCAGTCAAGTCATGAAATAGTCATGCAAAAGACTAAAGTGCACTTCTCAAAAAACTGGGTTTGTTTTGCTATTTCTGACTATGTAACACGTGCATATTCTAGGTGGAGGATTTTTCCAGTAAATTAGCGTTGTGTATTAGAGTAACTTACAATAATGAGTAAGTGTCATTAACATTCTCTTTGAACAAATAGCTTTGTACTGTTCACATCGATTCAAATTTTCTCAGCACACCAAACACTACTGAACATTTGTGCCTGCTAATTTCTACTCAGCATAGCAATACTGTACACAGAAGTTAAAGTAAACTGCAATAAGAGGGGAAAGTGTCACTGCATGAAGGAAGGGGCGCTGGGGCTGGGGGTGGAGGTACTGCTTACAGAAGCAAAGGAGGAGAGAGGGCTCTTTTGCTTTGTTTTCAGCAGAAGGGGCAACAGTGCTCCTACATAACTTTAATCCCTAGCATTTAAACATTTTCACTTATAAAAAACCCAAATGATTTCTGTTCATGCAACATCTTAGAGACAAGGATTTAGTAAATGTGCTGCATTTTAAAGTATTGACAAGGCAGGTAATGTAAAGCCTTCTATTGGGCTAAAAATAATTTGTACTATGCACTACAATTATTAAGGCAAGATACTGCTTTTAGCTGATGTACAGATTACACCTGAAAGGAAGACCTTTTGGGACAGAAGACTGCAGATTTGTGTATTTATTTGTGTAAAAGGCAGCAGATGGTTTAAGTTGCTTGCTTCTTCCTCAAATATCAATGCTAATACAAATATTTTTCTATTTTCCCAAAGGGCAGTAATAATTTAGTATTCCCACAATGACTTTTTAAGTACTATTACAGTTTGTCATGTTAACTGGGTATATAAATATACATTATTTAGCTATGAAAAAGATGCATACATTATAAGTTGGCATAAAACTTTTTTATTGAAAAAGACGCACATGATTATTTTATTGGACAAATTGATAAGTATGCAGGAATTGGTTCAAGAGGTAAACATGCCTGAATCACTAAGTAACAGTAACAACAGGGTAGATAAAAATCCATGATGAAAGAAAAATAATTTTTAAAAATCTATTTAAATTTTATTTTTAAGTTTAAATTAAACACATTTTTCTGTTTTAAAAACATTTAAAATATTAGAAATTATGAAAACTTACACTAAGGCCTAAACTTAAATATTAGAATTATTTAAATTACATAAATATTAAGCAGTATGTTTGCCATCAACGTGTTAAAGAAAGTAAAACTACTGAACTGGAAATAGTTGTCCAAGCACCTGAAAGAGACGGTTACTCACCTTTGTAACTGTTTGAGATGTGTTGCTCATATCCATTCCAATTAGGTGTGCGCTCGCCGCGTGCATAATTGTCGGGAGATTTTTACCCTAGCAACACTCGGTGGGTCGTCTGAGGAGCCCCCTGGATTGGCGCCTTTATGGCACCGGATATATGCCCCGGCCAACCCAGCGCCCCCTCAGTTCCTTCTTGCCGGCTACTCCGACAGAGGGGAAGGAGGGAGGGTTTGGAATGGATATGAGCAACACATCTCGAAGAACAACAGTTACAAAGGTGAGTAACCATCTTTTCTTCTTCGAGTGCTTGCTCATATCGATTCCAATTAGGGACTCCCAAGCCTTACCTAGGCTGTGGGGTCGGAGTGAGATGTCACAGAGTGAAGGACCGCTGAACCAAATGCAGCATCACCCTTGGACTGCTGCACTATCGCATAGTGGGCAGCGAAAGTATGCACCGATGACCAAGTCGCTGCCCTACATATCTCCTGTATGGGCACATGCGCCAGGAAAGCAGAGGATGAAGCCTGAGCCTGTGTGGAGTGGGCGGTAAGGTGCGTAGATGGGACACCAGCCAAGTCATAGCATGCACGGATGCATATATATGATATGATCCAGGACGAGATGCGCTGGAAGGAGACCGGAAGGCCCTTCATCTGGTCTGCCACAGCAACAAACAGCAGTGACTTTTTCCTGAAGGGTTTCATTTGCTCGATGTAGAAGGCCAGGGCCCTGCAAACATCCAGGGAGTGCAGCTGTTGCTCCCGTCGAGAGGCCTCGGGTAGAAGTCAGGGAGGAATATGTCCTGGTTTACATGGAAGGCAGACACCACCTTAGGGAGGAAGGCCGGGTGGGGTCGCAGCTGTACCTTGTCCTTGTGGAACACCATATACAGTGGTTCCAATGTGAGTGTCCTGAGCTCAGACATGCGCCTCGCCGAGGTGATAGCTACGAGGAAGGCTGTCTTCCAGGAAAGGTACAGGAGCGAGCAGGTGGCCATCGGCTCCAACGGGGCACCCATGAGTCTGGATAGGACCACGTTAAGATCCCATGTAGGGACCGGTTGTCGAATTCGTGGGAACAGGCGGTCCAACCCCTTGAGAAATCTGCTGACCATGGGATTGGAGAAGACCGAGCGCCCATTTTCGCCCGGGTGGAAAGCCAAAATAGCTGCCAGGTGCACCTTGATGGAAGATATTGCCAAGCCCTGCTGCTTTAAGGACAGGAGGTAGTCCAAGATGATAGGTACTGACGCCTGTAGGGGGGTCGTATGATTCCGAGCGCACCAGCAGGAAAAACGCTTCCACTTGGCTAAGTATGTGGACCTGGTAGAAGGCTTCCTGCTACCCAAAAGAATCTGCTGAACCGAGTGAGAACAGCACAGCTCAGACTGATTTAGCCATGCAGCATCCATGCTGTGAGGTGGAGAGATTGCAGGTCAGGATGACAGAGTTGACCGTGATCCTCAGTGATCAGGTCTGGCCACAACGGGAGTGGAATTGGGGTGTCCACCGACAGCTCTAGGAGAGTAGTATACCAGAGCTGTCTGGGGGCCATGCCGGGGCGACCAGAATCAGACGGGCTCTTTCCCTGCGCAGCATGATTAGGACCCTGTGGACTAGCAGGAATGGAGGAAAGGCGTAGCACAGGTTATCCTTCCACTGAATTAGGACGGCGTCTGACAGGGAACCCGGAGAGCGCCCTTGGAGACAGCAGAACACCTGGCATTTCCGATTCTCGGGAGAGGCCAATAGGTCTATCAGGGGAAAGCCCCACTTCAGGAAGACAGAGTGGATGACATCCGGGCAAACCGACCACTCGTGAGCCTGGAATGATCTGCTGAGGTGGTCTGCTAAGGTGTTCTGGAC